AATGCTGTAGTATACACTGTACAACATAAAAAAAGTAATCTAAATATGTGTTGATTGCTAAGAAAGAGACTCTTAAACAATAATCTGGATCTACACACACACATATACATAGATATATGTAATGGAATACTGCTCAGCTATTAAAAAAATCAAAACCTTGCCATTTGTAACAAAATGGATGGAGCTGGAGGGGATTGTGCTAAGCAAAATATGTCAGAAGGAGAAAGACAAATACTAGATGATTTCACATGTGGAATATAAATACACACACATACACATAAGTTCCTCAGATAATGTTGTTTCATTCAATGTTGTTTTGTTAAAATGTAGATGAGAAAAAGCAATCTTGGCCTATTATTTGAAGACCTGCTTTTTTAAATGTTGTTTGCTTAAAGTTGCTGTTTCCAAGATATTGATGAGGTTAAGTGAGGATTTACTGTAGATCACGTTTTCTTTATCCACTCATCTGTCGATGAACACTTAGGTTGTTTCGATCCGTGGCTTTTGTGAATAATGCCATGAGTGTGGAGATATATTTCCATACTCCTTTGGCGATATATCCAGAAGTGGGCTTCTGGACTAAGTGGTTGCTCTAGTTTTAATTTCTCGAGGAAACTCTAAAATGTCAGTTTATGGTCCCCAACAGTTTATGGTCCCCTTTCCTGCATGTCCTCATCAGCATTTGTTATCTACTGTCTTTTTAATAACAGTCATTCTAGCAGGTGCAGGTTTGATTTGCATTTCCCTGAAGATAAGTGATGTTGAGCACCTTTTCATGTACCTGTTGGCCATTTCTGTTATCTTTGGAAAAATGTTTTTCAGTTCCTTTGCCAATTTTAAAAATTGGGGTCTGTTTTAATTTTTCTTTTAAATTTATTTATTTATGCATACAAGAGCTAGGGTAAAAGCTAGAGATGCGGGGGAGGTGGGTGGGGGTAAGAGGATTCACCAGAGACAGAGTGGGGAACAGAACAAGCAGACTGATGGAAGTACACTGCTGAGGGGAGCAGCGGGCAAGACAGGAGAGGTCTGCTGCGCCATGTGGGTTGCTTCTTGGCTGGCCGGGGATCGAACTCGTGCTGCAGTGGCTGCAGATTGCTTCGTAGTGCAATGCTTAACCCCTTGTGCCACCAGGGAGGCCTCCCGTTTTAGTTTTTCTTATTTACTGATTCCTATCTCTTTTGGCCTTAAAATTATGAGAAACTTCTCTAGCTGCCTCTCCTATCTCTATTTGGGAGTTGGTCTGCACAAGCACCGCATTGCATGAAGGTGCAGTGGCTGTGCTCCTCTGCCCTGTGGTATGATGGTTATATAATGTGCTTGTCAGATTTTCTGTGTCCTGAAGGAACTAGTTAATGTTTTTCATCTAAAGTTTGGAGGAATTTCTCCTTTCTTCTTCAAAAATATTTTCAAAGCAGTTATTTTATAGTGGACATGTGCCCTTTTTACATTCATAAAAATATGTTGGAGGGAATCTGGGAAAAATCATTATTGGACTGGTAAAGCTGGAAGATACTGGGCTTCCCTGGTGGTGCAGTGGTTGAGCGCTGGGCTGCGAAGCTGCCTGCAACCTCTGCAGCGCCGGGTTCCATCTCCGGCCTCTGGGGGAGGGTCCCACATGGTGCACAGACCTCTCCTGCTGTCTGCTGCTCCCCTCAGCAATGTACTTTGTCAGTCTGCCTGCTCTGTTCCATGCTCTGGCTCTGGTGAATTCTCTCACCGTTCCGGGCTTCTGAATGTACCCAGTGCTTGTATAAATAAATAAATAAATCTTAAAAAAAAAAAGTTGGAAGATACTGTGAATGATCCACCACAGAGTGGTTGAATGTCTTGCTGAACAGCACACAGGAAAAAAAATCACATGGAGGAAGAATAAAGGCAAGGCCCATAGGAAGTATACAGAACTGGATTAGCACCCAAGAATATTATAACTCGATTTTATTTTCATAGCTACTTTGACCAACAGGAAACCTGGTCAGCCTAATTTGGAAGGTGAGGGAAAGGAAGAAAGTTTGTCTTCAAAACATAACTCACAGTTTAGCCTATTGTAAAATAAAATAAAATAAATAATCACATGGATGAATATCATATATCATTATTCTCACTGTTATTTCCTTATTCCTCTCAAAGCCTAACCACCACTATGTTTTGGCTTCCCTCTCACCTGTCATTTGCCACTCCTAGGCATTGATTGGCAGTGCCCTGTGGACCTTTTCTGCTCCACGTATGCTGAATTAATTGTTTTTTAAAATTAATTTATTGGCAGAATGTTTTTCCACACTTTAATAAGAGTTTGACTCTGAAAGAAGTATTTGTTCTGTGTTCTTTAATCCCAAAGGAAACCAGAAAATAGAGTAAACTGGAACAGAAATTAATTTTCAATTTGCAAGGATATTAACAGATTCAGTATGGTTAGAAACAATTTCCTAAAGTAAAATAACCACACTACCATTCAAGCCTTGCCATTAATGTGGTTTGTCATAATACTGAATTAAATCCATTAAAAAATATTCTGTTCCTTTAAACAAATATTTTTCCTAAGGTTAAGCAAAAGGAAAAAGTCCATCCAAGATAATAAATATTGAAGTGTTCACTATTTGTAAGGCAATGTGGTAGGCCCTGAAAAAGATATTAAAATGGGTACACCTCTGCCATTGGTGGCTGGATGTGTATCTACTCTCTCAAAAAAAGAGCCATTGCACAGACAAAAGTGTGAGGTCTATGAAGGAATAACACATATTCCCACACTCTCATTCCTTCATCACTGTAAGATAAATGAGTCACTTGACAACACGAAAGTCACAAAATCCCTGCCCTCATGGAGTCTGTATTTTAGCATGTGTGTGTGTGTGGGGGGGGTGGGTAGGGGGGAGGGTGTGTTGGAAGGGGGTAACAATAAGCAAATAAGTAAAATACATAAATGTTATAGAGAAAAATAAATCAGAGAAGGGGCCTTAAAAAGTTTTTGGCATGATGACACTGCAATTTCTAATACTGTGAAAATTCAAATATCATCAGCAATAGAACTGACACTACATCAGAAATGAGCTGAGTGAAATAAAGGTGTTAATCCCAGAGGATCTATGTAGCAGAGCATTCCAAGCACAGGGACTAGCAAGTACCAAGCTCCTCAGTTGGGAACATGCCTAACCTGTTCAAAGATGAGCAATGTGGCCAGTGTGGCTGTAACTGGTTAACTAGACAGAAAGCAGTAGAACATTTAGAGTTAAGAGGTGAAGAAACTGGCAATGAGAAGCCAATGGAGGATTTTTTGAGTATAAGTGTGACATGATCTGATTTATAAAAAAATATGGTGTAGGTTAAGTAAAAGTATCAGGCTCTTCTGCCCTCCCACCATTAGGATTGATGATGGATCCCTGAGGTCCTGAATGCATGCTTGATAGCGAGCACCTGGAGTAGGGTATGGGCATGCATAGATGGGTACACTTGGGCCAAGAAACTGGGCATATAAGGCCAGGGCGGCAGAGGATGGCGTGGTGTGGAGTGCGATGGTGTGCGACTGTGTGTGGCTGCGAACAGTGGAGAATATGAAAACACCAACAGGTCTGCTTGAGCCATTCCATACCCGGTATGGGACATTTGCATTATATATGATCATGGTTGGAATCAGGAACATAAGTTACCGTGATAGCCTGTAGAGAGAGCTGATAGTGGTAGACAGGTTGGGGAGAATGGTCAAATTCTGCATGTATTTTGTTGGTGGAAGCATCAGGATTTGCATAAAAAAGTAATGGGACAAAAGAGCAAGGCCAAGCTGGTGCCCATTTTGGAAATTGACTAGCTCTCAGCATTACCTTTGCATAAAGGTGGTGCTTTATAAATAGACTGTTTTCATCTCGGATTATTTAATCAGAATCTCCAGGAAACAATATATTTAAGACTCTTCCCTAATGAAACTTGGTTGTCAGGGGTCAAGTGAGTTATATTTAAGATGAAAATTAGGAGAACAACACTGTGCAAAGTTGATGGGTTGGTGGGCTCGTGGATGTAAATGTTAACCACTCTGAAACCTGTCAGAGAATGTAGGGATACTTTAATACAATTTAAGTGGGTTGAATTAATCTTGAAAGCTTCCTAAAGGAGGTTGATTTTTAAAAAAAAAATATTTTATATATTTTTTACATCATTTTTCATTTTTGCACAATGTATGCATTTTCATGTTGGTTGTATTCCCCATACAATTCCCACCCCCCTTATTTTGACCCTAATCCCTTCCCCCCCAGTGTGTCTCTGGTTTATAGTTGCTTGTTGATTTTGATTTTTACTTTATTATAATTAGTCATTGTCCAAGTCCCTTATTTAGGTTTTCTAAACTCCTGCTATGAGTGAGACCATCTGGTATTTTTCTTTTTCTTTTTGGCTTATTTCCCTGAGCATGATCCCTTCCAGCTCCATCCATGTTGCTGCAAATTGCATGAGTTTATCTTTTTTGATTGCTGAGTAATATTCCACTGTGTATATGTACCACATTTTCTTGATCCAGTCATCTATTTTTGGGCATTTGGTTTGTTTCCATAGCTTAGCTATTGTAAATAGTGCTGCTATAAACATAGGGGTGCAGGTGCCCTTTTGAATTAATGATTCTGTGTCCTTTGGGTAAATACCTAGGAGTGGAATATCTGGATCATATGGAAGTGCCATCTTTAGCAGGTTGAGGAATCTAAAGGAGGCTGATTTTAACTAAGGCAAGGCACGAAGATGAATGCAAAAGATGAAAGGTAGGGGCTGAGGGTGACAACTGCCCCACGCAAGATCTCTGAGCCCAAAGCTTCGATCCCTACAACTCGGCCTTCAGCGGTGCCTCTGCAAGCAAGACTTCCCCAAAGCCACGCCCCTTCAGTGTAGGACCTGCGGGTTTCCGCCCGCCGGGGAGCCCGGGTTTCCGGAAGGTCTGGTTTTAGAGCGGACCTAACCGGATGAAGGTCTCACGTCCTCTTCCGACCTCCTTCCGGTTCACCGGCTTTTCAGTGGGGCGGGAACAAGCTGTGTCTGCGCAGGCGCGGTGCGCTCTCCACGCGCGACGCTATGCCGAGCCGGCACGTCCTGCGTGTCCGGGCCTTATACCGGCGCATCTTGGCGCTGCACCGCGTTCTGCCCCCGGACCTCAAAGCCCTTGGCGACCAGTACGTGAAGGACGAATTTAGGAGACATAAGACCGTTGCTTCTGACGAGGCCCAGCGTTTCTTGCAGGAATGGGAGGCAAGTGTCTGCCCCCCATCTCCCCTTTTCGTCCCAGTCCTTGGGGGGTCCCTCGAAGGTGTCCCGGTTAGTCCCTGTGAGAAGCCGCCCCCCTGCTGCTTCCCCGACCCCGCGAAGGGCTAAACGCGGCGGCAAACCGCTCGGTTTGAATGAAGCAGCGCAAAACTGGTGAAGCGGTTCTTCCCAAAGTTAAATCCCGAGCCCCTCTTTTCTCTCCTGTGTTCTTTCGCTGGAGCAAATTGCATTATGCTGGCGTCTGCGATGCAGTTCGTCTTTGAACTCCTGCAGGAGTGTGGAGGATGGAGATTCCAAAACCTGAGTAAATCACGGGCAGGTGCTGGAACAGCTCGCTTTACCCCCACCGCCTGATGCTTGTTCTCGCTTCTGGCGCCGTGCACGAGACAAGCACCTAATTGATTAGTGGTTTTCGCATGGCTTAGTTTTCAGACTTAGAGGCTTGTTTCTGAGAATACTCTCTTTTTAAATTTCAGTGCTTTGTTGAGTCTCAGGAGTGTTCTTAACACATCAGATAACACGGGACGGGGTGGTGGGGACTACAGCCGTTGGAGGAGAAAAATGCTGGTCAGAGTTAAGTCAAGTGAAAGTTGGTTTCTCCGGAGTCTTTGGTCACATTACTTTGTTGCATTGCCCTGCGCCGTTGCAGTAAATCTTGAACAGACACATGCGTTAGGGATTAGCCCTTTGACCTTTCTTTTTCACTTTTATTTAAGTGAAGGAATAAGATATTCAGGGTATTTTGGGGGCTGGGTGCTTTACCGGGTTGCTCCCAGAACTTATTTGTAAATATTAAGAAATAACTGGCATTGGAGTTAAGGGGGAGATTCAGGTATTTGAAAGCTCAAAGAAGTGTTGGTTTAAGAACAGAGGGAAGCGATACTTCGGTCTAAATAAAGTTAATGGCTGAAATCTTTAGTTAGAGCAAACACGACTTTTTCCACTGAATCCCATAATTCTTAATTGTAGAATCACAGAGGTTTGAAAAAGGAAAATTATTTTCTTATCTACAACATGTACCTCAAAAATTTTTGGTGTATGTAAATGTATTTTAAAAAGCATTTTTGTAAGTTGTTAATTGCAACGAAGCTACATGATATCAAGGTGTTGGTTAAGTGACATCTTTTATACCGGTTAGTTTGTGGCTTGATAGGAAGGAGAGTCTAGCTCTGTGTTGATAAGGGTACTTTGAGAGATCCTAAATTAGGAGAACTTGGAAGCCTTTTAGGAGTAGGGAATCAATACATTGATATTAGATTGGAGGAGAGAGAGAAGGCATAAAAAAAGAACTGGGTAATTTATTAGTTAGGATTCTTATGTAGGCGCTGTTTGTTCTCCATATTGATCTAGCATTTGAAGTCATTTTTTTGGAATGAAGAAAAGTATTCCATGGAGCTGAGTCTTGTAATTAGTGAGTTGATTGCTGGGTAAAGGTAAATTTTAACCTAGTGATCTATTTCCCAATAACTATTACAGTTGAAATGCTGCTCAGTCTAATTCTAGAAGTTTGTAGGCCTGTAGAATCCTGCCAAGCGAGAGCTATAGTGGTTTTTCTTTTTCAAGATGAGGGCTAGAAAAGAGTGATGATTTAGGGGAAATTTTTGACTTGGGCACTAGTGATACCAGAGAGTTCCATCAATCAGCTTTCAAAGTCTTCCCTCACCCGCCCCCCCCACATCTGTTCTTCAAAACATCACATTTATGATTGTGTTATACCTGAGGCTACTAGGTATGACATTTCTGTGGTTTTGTTGTTGTTGCGAGTGGTGATTATAAACTTGGCAGTAATACTCTTGAATAGTTTGATGCTTTTGTTTATTTTAACCCAATTGAGAATAACATGATTGTGACTCACAACTTGTGGCACTTATGTGGGTTTGATCTTTGGGATTTTGTCACACACTTAAAAAATTATTGAAAATGGATTGTTAATTTGTTGTAATTCAAAGGCCAAAGTTGGGTATGGTAATTGGAGAAAGGAAAGGGGCAGGATGAGGAATACTAGGGGCTTAGGATAGTTCTTAGGATAGTATTAGGATAGTTCTCTATTTCCTTCATTTGTGATCACAGAAAACTGGCAGATACTAGAGGGAGTTCTTTTGGGGAACTTTCTGTTTCAGAACCATTGGGGGGAAGGTAGGCGAAAGGTATTTCATTATCTTAAGGATAAAAATGTCACTGCATTTTACAGAGTAAATAGTGAACTTGTATAATTTCTTGTCATTTAAAAAAAGTAAGTTCAGGAAAAGAACGTTTGAAATCTCTTAGAAAGTTTGATAACTGGCTGGTAAAATAGACATTTTCAAAAATTCTAACTGCTTATTTTTAAAGAACAGCAGATTTCGGTAATGCTTTCCATTTTTCTTGCTGTGCTTATCTAGGTGAAAAGAATGTCTTACACTTATTTTCTGGGAAATAAAAATAAGCATTAAAGGTTAAATAGCAAGTGAAATATGTTTGTGGTAGAATGTGAGACATAAAACACGCTGTATTCAGGACTTACTGTGAAGAGACTCCATATGTTTTTTTTCTGTCCATTTCTTTGTCTGTTGTTTTTTTTGCCTTGTTCCTTTTGTTTTTCTTACATAGCTGCTGCTTGCTTCTGCTTTGTAGCAGACATTTTTGGAAAAAACTAAAAGGCTAACATATTCTAATAGTAGTTATTGATCACTAGCCATTGCCAGGCAAAGTGATAAGCATTGTGAAACACAAAAACAATAAGTGTATTTTATTTGCACAGTCTCCAAAGTTTAGTAGAGTATAATAGGTAATTATTGCATGAAAAGTGCTGGTTAAATACCATGGGAGCAAGAAGGAAATGGAGGAAGTTGAAAGGTACTTACACTGAGGGGAGTCCTGAGCATGTGAGAGTTATAATGTTAAGAAAAAGACTTTTCCAAAAATAAAAAGTATTGGGAAAAGAAAAACAAAGCAGATTTATTATTTTTAAGTAGTTAACTTTTACAATTAATGTATTTTTAAAGTAATTTTCATTGAATTTTAAAATCATGTTTGGTGGCCTAAATTATTGGATTCTGTTCCAGTCACTAATTTTATATTTCTTGTCCTTAAAATATGGCAGCAATATCCACAGATTTGATAAATTTTCTTTTCCAGATTCTTTGAAGAAAATATTTTAGAAGTGGTTCTTTGTACTTTTCTAGTATGTTGCCTTATTTTCCTGCTTTTAGTGATGCTAAAGTTGGTCTGTGAGTACAGGTGAGGTGAGTCTGCTTCATCTACCAATCATTTACCTCATGTCTTGCCATTCATCATTTAATGAGCTATAGTTCCTTCTCTGGGAGTTGACAAATAGTGAATTTTGATTTTTAGTTTCTTTTTGCCCCAGGAACCTCCAAAGGTATGTGAGAATTTTAGGAACATCATAAATGCAGGAGCTTTTAAATAAGTTCAGTGTAATTCAACCCACTGCAAATCTTTTTAAGCTCAAATTGTCTCATTTCAGGCTAGCAGGAGCCTTCTGCTTGACTTCCATATCCCACAACCTCAAGTGTTTTTAGAATTTCCTTGCTTCTACAAAACACATTATTTTGCTTTCCATTTTCTGTTATATAGGTCCCGGATAGTTGTCACCATTTGGAATTCAGCTCTTTACTTTGGAAATACAGATTTAAATAAAGAAAAAATAATTACCAAGGAAAGAAAAAAGAAAGATAAAAAGAAAACAAATGGCAAAAAATAAAATCCAGAACAAAAAATAGAAAAGAGAATGAAAAACACTGGAAAGAGGGAAGAACATGAAGCGGTATTGATGTAAGAGACTGCGTGACTTATTTCAGGAGTTACAGTGCTGTAATTTGAACTTAGTGCCTTATGTTGAAGATAGGCAGATAAAGCTAGAGAGATAGCAAGAAACAGTATATTCTAAGGATTTTAGTTTTCAATTTGAATCATTGAACCATTTTAAGCTGTGGTGAAAATGAATGAAATTATATTCTAGAAGGATAAGTTTAGAAACAATATAAAAGAGTGATTGAAGAAAAAGGCAGGATTGACGATTGAAAGAACTGTTAGGAACATGTAGTAATCACAAATATGTATGTGATCAAAACAAGAGGTGTTTCAGAATGGAGACTATAGATTTATGTGTTTCCTTTTTCAGTTAAATGGAACTTGACTTAGTGACTGATGTAGATAACTGTAAGGTTTTGGATCATGGTACCAATAGCTAGAATAGATTGTAGGAGTTACTGGTGGGGAAATGAGTTCAGTGTAGTACGTTTTGTGTTAAAAATTCTCGTGGAATAATTAAGTGGAGATGGCCTGACTTGTTTAGTACTTAGACAGATTTTGGCTAGAAGTAGAGATTTGAAATTTATTTTTGTATTTGGTGCTCCAAAGGTGTGCATGAAAGTGCCTAGCTTAGGAATAACATAGGGGAACGGGGTCAAATATCCATCACCGACACGGGAATTAAGAGAATGAAGTAGAAAGTAAAGTTTGGAACCGTTGTTTTTTCCCCCTTGTATTTAGTTACGCCTACCTACTTCAGCGAAGGAATATTTTTTTTCTTTTTCTTGATTGTGTTTAATTCTTCAGATTTGTATCATCATCTAGATATCATAATGTAACATTTGCTTTTTAGTTTTATTTCACTGTATTTGTTTTAGAAAGAAGGAAGTGCTCAGATTTCATGTAACCATCCATTTGTAACTTACAGGTCATATCTTTTTCTTATAATTTTTTTTAATATTATTTAACACTCACATGCTTTAACTTTTTTTTTTAAAGATTTATTTATTTATTTATTTGTACAAGCACTGGGTACAGTCAGAAGCGCGGGAGGGTGAGAGAATTCACCAGAGCCGGGAGCAGAGCAGGCAGAAGGACCGAAGTACACTGCTGAGGGGAGCAGCGGGCGGCAGGAGAGGTGGGTGGTGCCATGTGGGACCCTCCTCTGGTGGCCGGGGAGCAGCCGGGGATCGAACCTGCGCTGCAGAGGCTGTGGGCAGCTTCGCAACCCA